CAATAAATTTCATATATAAATAAAAAATAAATAAAAAAAAATAAAATATATTGTTGGATTACCTTTGCTAATCTTTTATTTTCCTTTTAAAGTTTTGCATCTGTGTTTATGAAGGATATTATTAGTCTGTAGTTTTGTTCTCTTTCAGTATTATCTGGTTTTATTTTGGAGCAATGGTGGCCCATAAAATGATTTGGGAGGTATTCTCTACTCTTCAATTTTCTTTTCTTTAAAAATTTAACATTTATTCATTTTTGAGAGGCAGAGCACAAGTGGGGGGGGGGGCAGAGAGAGAGGGAGACACAGAATCTGAAGCAGGCTCCAGGCTCTGAACTGTCAGCAAAGATACCGACATGGGGCTCGAACCCACAAACCATGAGATCATGACCTGAGCTGAAGTCGGACGCTCAACCGAGCCACCCAGGCACCCTTTACTCTTCAATTTTCTAGAAGAGTTTGTGTAGAATTGGCATTATTTCTTCCTTAAATGTTTGGTAGAATTTATCCATCCACATTATCTGACTTGGAGTTTTCTTTGTGAGAATATATACAGAATTATTCAGTTGATTTCTCTGAAGGAAATTGTTCATATTTTCCAAGTTGTAGGCCTTATTGACAGAAAGCTATTCATAATGTTCTCTGGGAACTGAATGTCCTTTTCTTTCAAAATTTATAGATTCTGTTGTAGTATCATTATATTCAGTCCTAACACTGGTAACTGTGTTTTCTCTTAGAGGTTTATCAATTTTAGTGATCTTCTCAAAGGGTCAGATTTTGGTTTTATTGATTTTCTCATTTTTCTGCTATTTCATTGATTTCCACTCTGATCTTTATTATTTCCTTCCTCTGCCTACTTTGGATTTAATTTGCTCATTTTTTAAAAATTTCTTAAGATGGAGGCTGAAGATACTGATTTCAGACCTTTTTTTCTTTCTAATAGAGATGTTCAGTGCTATAAACTTCCTTCTAAGTATTGCCGTAGTAACACCCCAAAATTTTGATGTGTTGTTTTCATTTCATTTGGTTCAAAATACTTTTTAGTTTCTCTTCTGATTTCTTCTTTGACTCATGGGTTACTTAACTTAGTTTAGTGCTTTAGTTTCCACATATTTGGAGATATTCCAGAAATATTTCTGTTGACTTTTAATTTAATTGCAGTGTGGTCAGAGAATATGCTTTGTATGACTTAAATCCTATACAATGTATTGAAACATATTTTATCACCCCAAATATGGTCTATCTTATAAATGCTCTATGCCCACTTGAAGAGCATATGTATCACACTACTGGTCAGACTAAAATGTCAGGTCAAACTGTTTGGTTGTACTGTTCAAGTCTTCTGCATCCTTACTGATTTTCTGCCTATTTGCTCTTCAAAATTATTGTGAGAGGGATATAGGTGACTATAACTGTGGATTTGTCTATTTTCCTGGAAGTTCTATCAGTTTTTGCTCATTTATTTTGAAGCTGTGTTATCAGTGGCTTAAACATTTAGGGTTGTTATGCTTTTTATGAAGTGGCCTTAAAGAGGTAATAGTCTTTGCTCTGAAGTCTACTTTGTCTGATATTAATATGGCCACTTCAGCTTTCTTTTCAATAGTATGACGTATGTTTTTCTTTTCTTTTACTTCTGACCTATTTGTGTTTTTATAAAAGCACATTTCTTACAGGCGGCATCTAGTGGGGTTTTACTTTTTTCCATTCTGACAATCTCTGCCCTTTTTATTTTTTTTAAAAACTTTAATAAAAATTTTATATATTAAGGTGTACAACATGATTTGATACACATATACATAATGAAATGATTATCTGAATCAAGCTAGTTAACATAGCATCTCTTCATAGTTACTATGTTTTTTTTTATAACAAGAGCACCTGAAATTTACTCTCTTAACATATTTCCAATATTCAATACAGCATTAACTGTAGTTATCAGGCTATACATTAATAATCAGTCAATCTATATGACTGTAATTTTATACTCTGACCAACATCTCCTCATTTCTACCCCCGGGCCTCAAACTCTGGTAACCATCATTCCACTCTCTGCATCTATGAGTTCAACTGTTTTAGATTCTATATATAAGTGACTCATGCAGTATTTTGTCTTTATGTCCCTGGCTTATTTTACTTAGTATAATGTCCTCCAGCTTCAAATATGTTGTCACAAATGACAGGATTTCCTTCCTTTTTATGATTGAATAATATTCCACTATATGTTACTTAAAAAAAGCAATGAACTTCGGAAATTAAAACACAAAGAAAAACAATCTGTCAGTAATTCTCTGCTATGAGTATCTGATTAGTTTTGTATTTTATGTGAACACAAAAGAGTACATTTCCATGTTATGGGAATACTACAGAAATATACATATATATATTGGACAAATTTACTTTCATATATACATACATATACTGGCAAAATTTACTTTCGTGTGTTTCATATGTTTCATATATTTAACATTCAGATTTGACATGGTATGCTATGCCTTCTAAAGCATGAGGAAAGCAATACTTAGAAATGACTAGTTTTGTCTTAAATCAAGTCAATCTCCCAGTTTCTAAAATACAGAAGAAAAACATATAGAACACCAAATTCATTTCTAAACAAATTACACAATCTAGGAAATGTAGGGATAGAAGCATCAGTTAACAATTTGAGTTATAAATCACCAAAATAAAAAATGTAATCACGAATTAATTCCTAATTTAACATGCCTTAAAAGATAGGAACAAAATTACTACTTGCTGATCTTCTAAATGAGGAGCCCATTTTCTCTTTTCTTTTCTTTTGGGATTATCATTTTGCAGTTTTCAACTGTGAAACTAGAACTGCCTTTCTATCCACATAAGCAAATGTAGTACCTGTAAAGTTTCTCTGCATACGTAGGCTATCTGCAATTCTGATAATGGCCCAGTAACTAGGAAAAAAGAGAGATCACATAGTTACACATGTCAATAACACATTACAAACAGTCCATCTTAAAAATGACAAACTATTGGGGCGCCTGGGTGGCTCACTTGGTTCACTGTTCGACTCTTGATTTTCAGCTCATGATCTCAGTGTTTGTAGGATCAAGCCCCATGTTGGGCTCTGTGCTGACAGCGCAGAGCCTGCTTGGGATTCTATCTCCTTTTCTCTCTGTCCTTTCCCCCACTGACGCTGTCTTTGTCTCCCTCAAAAATAAACAAGTAATCTTTAAAAAAATGACAAAGTATTAACAAAACTTCTATGTATATAATTGGATGGCTTCTCACCATGAACACACATTATTCTTATAATCAGGAAACAAAACAAAACAAAAGGAAAGTTGAGAACCTTAAAATGTACTTTAAAAACAGAAGATTTACTCCATAACAACTTTGGTCTGTGAAAATATAAGCATTCATTACTTGCAAAGTGCAGTAGTAGGCACCATAGGACAGTCTATAGAAAACAACAGACATGATCTTAATCCTGAAAATTTTCTCTAAAATAAAACCAAGAAAAGAAATAAACATATGTAATTAATTATTGTTATATAGAGTGGAGAACCATAAGAGATCAATTGTTGAAATATACCAAGAGGAATCATATACATAAAGATCAAAATATTACTTTAGTATAATCCTTTCCTATATTTTTCAAACAGGAAGGCTTGATCCAGTACCTTATCTAAGAATTTAAAAAGCAACCAGGTTACTTCTGACAACCAGATCTCTATTACAAAATATAAGATCTTTCTGTAAGTACCTAACCAGACACTTCAGAATTATGCCTTCCAATACCAAATACCATGAGAGAATATCTGAAATCTGGTGTTTGCTGACAGTGAAACCAAATCAGGTACTTACACATAATTGTTCCTCAAGAGAGATATTTTACTGTATTATTTTAATCACTGGCTCTCTACATCTACTCAGGAACATAAAATTTTGGTTCCTAGTAACTTGATGGAATAGTAATAAAAGAGGGAAGGCATCATCTTATTAACAGTTTATTTTAAGTATATATGTTCTTGATTTCTACTGCTATCTAGTATACGATATACAGGGATGGACACTTCTTACATTCAATTTAACTAAAAAAATATCAGGTTTAGTAATGAAAAGTAGAAATATCAAGAAGTAAGATTAATGTCTTAAATTATTCATTAAGTTTAAAAGGGGAAGTAGTAAAAACAATGCCAGCTATATAGGTTTATTTATCCATATTCTTGAGTTCTTGTTCTGTCAGTGTGAATAAAAATGATAATCATTATATAAAAACTTTTCATATAAATGATAATTCTTCCTAAAATCACAGAAAAGAATTTTAAATTGAGTGGCACAGAGTTGTTTTCTACCAATAATTCTTTTTTTTTTTCATTTATTTATTTTTGAGAGACAGAGGGAGACAGAGCACAGGTGGGGGAGGGGCAGAGAGAGAAGGAGACGCAGAATCTGAAGCAGGCTCTAGGCTCTGAGCTGTCAGCACAGAGCCCGATGCGGGGCTCGAACCCACAAACTGCGAGATCATGACCTGAGCCGAAGTCGGATGCTCAACCAACTGAGCCACCCAGGTGTCCGTACCAATAATTCTTTTAAATCAGACACATGGTAAAATAAGAGAACAATAATTCTAGCATGATATAATACATAAGAAAATGACTAGTGTGTAAAAAAATGGATTTGTTCTTGTTTTAAAAACTCTGTAATATTTTATATAATTGTAATATGTATGTGGTGCTAAAAATTATTTTAAACAAAAAGTATCCAGACTTTAGACATCAATCACAACTATTTTTTTTGGTCATGGGTTATTTGTTGTGACAGAATTAGGTAATTATTATATTTATTAATTTATAATTAAATAATACATCAGTACATTTTCATTATAATTCAAAATTTTACTTAGGCGTCCCATTTCTCCCCTAGAAGTAATGACTTACCAATTTGGGACACATCTTTTCATTTTGTTGTGCATTAACATTCATATGTAATGTGAATATAAAAAATTACATTTTTAAATGTCTAAGTGTTATCAGTTATGCTATACATATTTTTTCATGATCTAGTTTTTCCATTTAAAAAGAGGCCTTGGGGAGATACAGCTAGTGGATATAAACGGAGCTACTTTATCTTTTTAAATGCTTCACAGTATTCCATATTGTAGGCGCAACATAGTTTATTTAACCATTGCTCTACTAATTTTTTAATTATTATTATTATTTTTTTTTTATTTAGAAAGCAGGGAGGGGCAGAAGGAGAGGGAGAGAGAGAATCTTGAGCAGGCTCCACACTCAGTACAGAGCCCAATGCGGGACCCAATCTCGCAACTGTAAAATCATGATCTGAGCCAAAATCAAGGGGTGGACACTCAACCCACTGAGTCACCCCAATTGACTGATATTTTAACAATCTGAGCTCTACAAGCTACAAATTATTTAAATATTATTTACACCTGAAATTATTTAAATTATTTAAATATGATTTACACCTGAAGAGCACTTATTTTTACATCTACTATGGTGGTATTTGTTAACTGGATGACTGAAATTTGATAAGGCTGTCATATAAAGCTTTTAGCATAGAAATGTTTGAAAATATTTCAGATAATTCTTAATAAACTATACAGTACAAAGTTGCAATGGGCGTTTTACTATTCCATATTTAGTTAAATAAAGAAAATAGAAATTGTTTTATAAGGATCTGTGTTTAGTCTCATTAACTAAAACATCAGGAAACTGTCAAAAACAAAACAAATTGGAAGCTAAATTGTAGAGCCAAAACAAAGACTATTTCTAAATGGTTATGGGTAATATCTAATTCAACTCAGAAAACTGCCTAAATTAACAGAATGTTCAATAAAATACTTCAAGTTTTTGAAAATATATTTTTTCAATATTTTTAAAAAGTTTATTCCTTTATTATTTCTGAGAGAGAGAGAGAGAGAGAGAGAGCGCACACGCACAAGTGGGGGAGGGCCACAGAGAGGGAGACACAGAATCCAAAGCAGGCTCCAGGTTCTGAGCTGTCAGCACAGAGCCCTAAGCAGGGCTTGAACTCATGAACCATGAGATCATGACCTGAGCCGAGGTTAGACACTTAACCAGCTAAGCCACCCAGGTGCCCTGAAAATTATACATTTTTAATACAAAAATACATCAACAACTAAACCTAGTTGTTTCCTTAGTTAGGTTAAGTGATTTCTAAGATAGATATACAATTTCTTTTATGTGAGAGTTAACCTTTGTAATTCAATTCTTATTTACAAAAATTGAGGCAGTTTCAAATATAGATAAAATACTTTCCTAGACACACATAAGATTTCCTAGATACTACATCTAAAAAGCAAAATTTGGACTCTATAAGAACTTCTGGATTTCTCAGATCAGGTTTCAGAAAATTTACTAAAAAACCAAAATAAATAAATAAATAAAGTTTAGATTTCTTTTATGCAATACTGCAGGAGCAGAACAGAACAATGTAAAAACGGTATATGTACCCATCAACATCCCTGGTTAACTAGAAATGTAAAACAACAATCATTAAACTCAAAGTTTGTTTTTAAAACGTAAAGTCAAATGAACAGTACCATGGTAAATATCTTGAAGTGATCCGCCACCACAGTATTCCATACAAATCCACAGTTTTTCTCGACTAATAAGAGAAAGAAAATTATATTAGCTAGTAATTCTCAATCACTGAAATACCCTTACAATAAATTATATTAAAAAAAAAAAAAAAGAAAAGAAAGAAATACCCTGAAGGCTTTCACTCTTCAGCACACCAAGGTTTAGAATGGATTACAGGGTGCAACAGGAAACTGCCCTGGCAGTCTCTCTTCCAGATTCAGAAGAGCAGAGTAACTTCAGTTTTGCTCCCATCTTAAATGGTTTAGAATAAGTTTTATGCGATAAAACACTTGTAATCATTCATAATATTTATTGTCAGATAAGGTATAAACGCATAAATGGAGATGTCATTATTAATATAACAGGGGAGACTACAAGAAAACCTGAGAAATTTTAGAACTTCAGACAATATAACTTTAAAATTTTATATGTATAATAGCATTTACATGAAAGGCAGGGAGAGTGGTAGTAAAGAAATACAAAATTCAAGGAGAGCAGATGATGTTGTTGTCTTTTTTTTTACCTGAGATAGCTCCCAAAGTAGGCAACAATGTTGCAATGTTTACATTCTTTAACCATAAATATTTCTTGTTGAATCAAAGAAAAATCATCTCCTGAAAAACAAAATGATAAAACTTAATAACAAAGTTATGTTTTGAGTCATATATGGGAAAAAAGAAAACTTTACAGTAAATGTTAGAGATGAGGAATTAGATACTCAATATAAGGGAATATAAACTGCTACATTCTTTCTAAAAAAGCAGAAGCCTTAAAAATACACAAAATCTTCGAACTCATAATTTCACTTTAAAAAAATTTTTTCTGAAGGAGATGTGCACAGAGATAAATGTTTTCTACAATGTGACTTAATGGAAGAATGAGTAAATAATTTATGGCACAGTTATACATATAATGCAGTTAAAACATGTTTTGATATGAAAATATGTTCATGCTATGTTAAAAAAGGGGTATTTTATATACGTTATATAAATACATATGTATAAAGAAGGATCTTAAAAAACTTACACAATGTTTATGTCCAGGCGGTAAAATTAAAAGTAATTTTGCTCTGCTTGACTTATCACTTACCATATTTTCTAGTTCATGCCACAAAATAGCAAGATTTCATTCTTTTTTTGTTGTTGTCTTTTGTTTTTAGTGTTTATTTATTTTGAGAGAGAGAGCATGCGACCAGGGTAGGGCCAGAGAGAGAGAGAGAGAGAGAGAGAGAGAGAGAGAATCCCAAGCAGGTTCTGTGCTGTCAGCACAGAGTCTAACACAGGGCTTGATCCCAAGAACCATGAGATCATGACCTGAGCCAAAATCAAGAGTCGGACACTTAACAACTGAGCCACCCAGGTGCCCAAGATTTCATTCTTTTTGATGGTTAAGTAATATTCCATTGTATATATACCACATTTTCTTTATCCATTCATCAGCTGGGCTCTTTCCATAGTTTGGCTATTGTTGATAATGCTGCTATAAACATTGGGGTGAATGTACCCCTTTGAACCTGTATTTTTTTTACTTCACTGACACGCAGAATTTAAGAAACAAAACAGATGTACATATGGGGAGTTAAGGGGGAGGGAGAGTAGAGGGAAACAAACCACAAGAGACTCTTAACAATAGAGAACTGAAGGTTGATGGAGGGAGGTGGGTGGGAGATGGGCTAGATGGGTATTAAGGAGAGCACTTGTGACGAGCACTGGGTGTTGTATGGAAGTGGTGAATCAGTGAATTCCACTCCTGAAACCAATACTGCATTGCATGTTAACTAAAATTTAAATTAAAAAAAAAAAAAAGTAGGGGCACCTGGGTGGTTCAATTGGTTAAGCGTCTTGACTTCAGCTCAGGTCATGATCTTGCAGTTGGTGAGTTTGAGCCCCACATCGGCTGTCTGCTGTCAGCACAGAGCCCACTTTGGATTCTCTGTCCCCCACTCTCACCCCTCCCTAGCTCACAAGCTCTCTAAAAAATAAACATTAAAAAAAAAGTAATTTTGCTTTCTTCTTATTATTTGCCAATTTATCACAAACTTGTTTGCCAATTTATCACATTTATCACAAATTTATCACCAATTTATTCATGTTTGCCAATTTATCACAAACTTGTTTGAGTTATACAGGAAAAGTTAACAAAATGAAATACTTGTTAGGAATGCCTGGGTGGCTCAGTTGGTTAGCCATCTGAGTTTGGCTCAGGTCATGATCTCTCAGTGAGTTCAAGCCCCACATCCGGCTCTGTGCTAAGAGCTCAGGGCCTGGAGCCTGCTTCATATTCTGTCTCCCTCTCTCTCCGCCCCTTCCCGGCTAGTGGTCTCTCTCTCTCACTTGCTCTGTCTCTCAAAATAATAAACATTAAAAAAAATAAATTAAAAAAATGAAATACAGGTTAGATATGGGAATTTCGTAATTATTATGGGAACACCACCTAAAACGGTATTGTCACCGTACCATCAAACTTCATTTTGTACAGTAGTCTTTTTTCAAGTTTTTATCTTAATTATAGTTAACATACAGCATTATGTTAGTTTCAGGTATACAACACAGTGATTGAACAATTCTATACACAGGTATACAATATAGTGATTCAACAATTCTATACATTACTCACTGCTCATCATGATAACTGTGCTCTTAATCCCTTTCACCTATGTCACCCACCTCCCCTCTGGTAACCATCAGTTTGTCTCTATAGTTAAGTCTGTTTTTTTTGTTTCTTTGTTCATTTATTTCTTCAATTCCAGATATGAGTGAAATTATATGGTATTTGTCTTTCTCTGACTTATTTCACTTAGCATTGTACCCTCTAGATCCATCCATGTTGTTGTAAAAGGCAAGATTTCACTCTAAAACAAAAACAAAAACAAAACACCTATTTCATAATCATCTGCCAGTAGAAGGGGCTTAATGGAGATAATCTAAAACAGATGATGATCTGTGTTTCCCATTATCAATTTATGTAGAAGTAGGGAGTAAATCCTGCAAATTACAGTAAAAACCCTGCTCACCAAGGTGCACAGACTGTCTTTGTCTGCTCCTGGGCACCAGAATATTGTTTCTCCTTGTATCTCACTCCTCTACTTGTGCCTTTTCCATTACAGCATTAAAACATTCTTTACACATGCTAATCTCCAACAAGCAGGCTAGATTCTAGTTTATCCTTCACTTTATTAGGAAGCTCTGAATTACACATGAAAGAAGAGTAAAGAATCACCTAACTTTGTTAATATATACTACTCTTTGGATTTCAGTCTACTCTTTTTTTTTTGTTTGTTTGTTTGTTTGTTTTTTTTATGTTTATTTTTGAGAGAGAGAGAGAGAGAGTATGAGCAGGCTAGGAGCAGAGAGAGAAAGGGAAACACAGAATCTGAAGCAGGCTCCAGGCTCCGAGCTGTCAGCACAGAGGCTGAGCCAGTCAACTCACAAACTGTGAGATCATGACCTGAAAGCAGTTGAATCAACTATAGCCACCAAGCCCGTCTACTCACTTTTAAATGTGCACAGAAGTCATATGTGAACTGTGCTGAAAATGCTTCAGTTAAGTCTGGAATTTAGAACAGATTTTCTCACAGGAGTAACTTCACAAATGATGCCTAACTTTTTTTTTTTTTTTATAAAATTTTAAACAGAATATGTTTCATCTCAGTAGCCTAAACATGCTTATGATTTTATTTATTTTATTTTTTTATTTTTAAATGTTTTTCTTTCTTTATTATTTTTGAGAGTGCAAATGGGTGCTGGACAGAGAGAGAGAGAGGGTGACAGAGGATTGAAGCAGGCTCTGTGCTGACAGCAGTGAGCCCGATGTAGGGCTTGAACTCATGAACTGTGAGACCACGACCTGAGCTGAAGTCGGACGCTCAACGGAGCCACCCAGGGGCCTAGGTGCCCCTCTTATGATCATTTTAAACCATATTTGTACCATTTTTCAGAACACACAAAATTGCATATGGGCAATTTCCACTGCCTGTGCCCCTGGAAGGGAGCAGAGCCACAGATAATATAAAGGTTTTTTTTTCCAGGGGCGCCTGGGTGGCTCAGTCAGTTGGGTTATATATACCTCAGGTCATGATCTCGCGGTCTGTGAGTTTGAGCCCTGCATCAGGCTCTGTGCTGACAGCTCAGAGCCTGGAGCCTGCTTCTGATTTTGTGTCTCCCTCTCTCTCTGCCCCTTCCCGGTTTGCTCTCTGTCTCTCCCTCTCTCTGTCAAAAATGATAAACATTAAAAAAAATTGTGTTTTTCCAGTGAAGTCCTTTTATAATCTTAATTATTTTTAATTTACATCCTAGTTAGCATATAGTACTATAATCAGTGATTCATCCCCTATATATAACACCCAGTATGATGCCTAACTTCTTAATGGTGTCTAAATTCTTAAACTGACTTATAAAAGCCAATAATATGGCTGAACTAATACTAATAATAAACCACTATTTCCTGGGGAAATTTAGGTGAGGTCCACCCCACAACTGTGGTCTCAGCAGAAGCTATGTGAGCTTTCCGCCAAAAAAGGTGGGGCCTTGGTGAGGCTAAGCAACAGTTTTTTACAGTTGTAGATGGAAACTAGAGTTCACAAGAATAGGTCATTAATAACTCAGATGTTTGAGGACTGCGGCTTCTTTGATATATTTAGTGAATAAACTCTATTTTTGAATATATTCTTCATATATCCGATTCACCATTGTCTTAAGATTTAATCCAAAGGGGTTAGAATCTTCTTTGAATTGAAACTGTACCATGGAACAGACTTACATAAAGATAATATTTCTGCAGTCTATCCTGAAAGGCAGATAAGCTAAATGTAGTTATTTATTACAGAAGTAGCTATTCTTTGATGGCTTATATCAGCTTCTTCAAAATGATCTAAATTGGGGTTTATTTTATTCTTCTGATTGGGTGATGCCAGACTACTGTTTCCTTTCCTTGAAATATACCATAAAATCCACTGGATTCAGACGCTTCAGGCCTAGAGGTTCCAGCTCTGTTCATGTATAAATGGGTTTTGAGGAGTTTATTTTCTCAAAAAAGAGAAGTTTTATTCTTCATACTTAGGCAATGTGAAGATGAGACTAGCTGAGAAATACAGAGCCCCATGTCTGCAGTTTTGACTAAGTACCTGTTATTTCCTTCTGGAGGTCTTGCTAGCCCCCTGAATTTAATATGTCCCAAGATACCAGTATCTTCTTTTAAAAATCAATTTTCTCTTTGGCCTTTCTATTTGTGTTAATGACACTTATTTTCTAAGGGACTAACCTCTGGCAGCCTCTCCATAGCCCTCCTAAGAAAACTGACCTCTATGCATCAAGAACTACAATTTGTGTCATGTGATCTTCTACTTGCTGAAGGCACAGAGGTGGACAACTGACCTAAAAGAAATGAGATGAGCTAATTATATTTGGTCTCTGTAAAATTTGAACCATGGAGACTAAGTCATTGGTAATCAGCAGAATCACATTAAAAGTGGAATATGAGAGTCTATGAATGACGGTGGCTAAGGTTACTAGAGAGGTACTGAAAACCTGGCTTATGAGTACATCTTTATATAGGAAGGGAAAGATCCACTAGAGCTTGAATGTGTGCCAAAGCACAGGCAGAGACAGCTGGATCA